GCCTACTTAGGAGCAGTACCCCACTGTGGTTCGGAACTGAGAATGAGAAATGGTGTCTGTGCCTGTGGCATGGCCCTTTAGTCGCCCCACCCAAGAACTGACAGTATGGCTCAGCTGTTTAGAGCACTGGCTGCTCTTACAGAGGACCCGGGTTCAAATCCCAGCACCCACATGAGGGCTCACAACTATCTATAACTCTAGTTCCAGGGAATCCAACACCCCCTTCTGGCTTCCATGGGTAGCAGGCATGCATGTGGATGCACATATATTCATGCAGGCAAACACTCATACACATACAGAGAAAAATAATTGATCGTATCACTGAGCAGATGGCACCGAAATACTTGGTGTAGCCTCCAATAAAGACACACACTGTATTCAATTGAAAGGTTCCTTAAAGCCAGTCTTCATCAGCTCCCACCAGTGCATTCAGACACTATGCCGTACGGCTAAGCTCCGTTCCAATAGAGCTTGTGGCAAACATTGCTTATCGCCTGAGTCAGTCTTGGGAAATTAAACAGTCTGAACTTCAGCTTTCCTCTCTGGGACATGGGTCTTAAAATACTAAAAGTTTCTACCCCGCGGAGTTCCCTCAGCAATTAAATACAAGAATTATGTAAGTTCTGTGAACCCAGCCAACACATGGTATGTGCTCAGTTTGGGAGTCTCTCTTATTTGGGGGTTGGCAGGAAGAAACACTTTCTGTGACTTCTGGGCCCAGGAGACCCCTGTGTGGCCACATCTACAGCTCTGTGTCTGACAGGGAAGCCCAGAGGCCAACACGGTGCATGCCTGGGTGGCCCTTGTTTAGGTCCAGCCACATTGCAAGCTTCCTTCCGGCCTGAGTTGTTATTGTGACTCCCTTCGCCTCCTCTTTGAAGTTTCTAGATTGATAGATGCTACTCAGTCACTCCACACATGTGCAGCTTTACATGTAGGTTTAAAAAAGAAAAGAAAAAGGTCACAGGAAACTGGAGGGGAAAGTGATGCTTGGTTTCTGACCTTAAACCAGGGGGTTTCTAGAAACTTCTGCAGTCAATGTCACATGTTAATTACAGATTGGGTGCTTGCCTGTGACTTAGAAGAAATGGAAATGAGTGAGGAAACCTTTTCTGTAAGTAGCTAGGAATTAGACACTGATCAGTAGCAAATGAACAGTTGGTGCAGACGTTTTAATGCATTGGAGAGGTAGGTAATAATTGAAAGTCTGAATTGTATTTCCTTATATGTGGAAAGGAATATTCACAACGGATCAAAAGTAAAGTGTCTCCAAATTCTTCCAGTATATTACAGGGTATTAAAAATAACATTTATGGGATAGGGGGGTGCTGATTTTTTTCTATAAAAACAGTACCAGATAGTAAATCCTTTTGGCTTTACGAAGCAGAGCTGATCTTTATAGCAGGAAGGTCTCTATTAAGAGAATCCACAGAAGGTCTCTCTCTCCCTTCCCCAATCCCTCTATTTAACAACTGTTGAAAATGTGGGGGTGTCTTCATCACAAGGCTGTATGAAAACTGACTAAATCTGCCTGCTTTAGAATATAAGGCAATGTTCATCTGGCAGCACAAACAGGAAATCATGGAAGTGACCCAGCCTGTGCCAGTGGCCAGGATATCTCCGTGGTACCAGATGACCTGACCATTGCCCCTACAGAGCTCCCATTGTCCTGAGAGGAATGTTCAGTCAGTTAACCAAACCAGTTTTATGGCAAGGTGTCTCTGGAGAGCTGAGAGAAGCAAGCCTTCCCTGTGGACAGGTCCACAGGCAGTAGGGATACAGGCTGTCATTTGCTGTGGCACCTAAATGGTATTTCATCTGTGACTTTAATTTTGCCGTCTAGGATTATGTGTGCTAACTGTCATGTAGTTACCGCTGCCACTCAATCCCTGTCCCAACACCCACATTGGGTAGCTCAGAATTACCCTATAACTCCAGCTCCAAGAGATCTGATAGCTTCTTTGGCCTATGAGGGCACCTACATACACACACACACACACACACACACACACACACACACACACACACACACACACACATACACACACACACTTGCACATAATAAAAAGATAAAATAAATCTTAAAGTATTTATACTTTGAAGGCTCCATTACCCAATTATATATCTTTTCCTATTTTTTAAAGATTTATTTTACTTTTCTTTTGTGTATGTGTTTTGCTTGCATGCATATATGTGCACTGCATGGTGCCCATGAAGGACAGAAGAGGGTGATAGACCCCCTAAAACTAGAGTTAAATTGTAAATTGCCATGTGGGTACTGGGAATTGAATCCAGGTCCTCTGCAAGAACAGCAGGTGCTCTTAACTTCGAACCATCTCTCCATCCCTCTTTTTCCTATTTCTAAAGTGCATTGATGTATCTCTTCAGAGGACTATGCTTTTCCCACCTAGTTCCTGGAATTCTAAAGTTTCAGAGTTGTTTTGATTTTGAGTGGCAGAATTCTGGCCTTGGAGTTCAGTCAGTGGATGCACAAACATTTCACTTGAAAACTGGAGTCACACGGGAGCTGATCATTTCATGTCTCCACATTCTCCTCCTTTCGCTTCGTTCAATGTCTCTGGAGTGACTGTGTCACATGCCAGTTAGGGACCAAGTTCCCTCTAGACACCTTAGTCATCTTCCTAGCCATCTGGCTTGAATACTCACCACTCCCCTGACCCCAATAACTGAAGTAGCTGAGTATTATCAATTGAATAATTACAAATCCTATGTCTGACATCAAATCCATCTCAATACCCTCTACCAACTGCTTCCCTCTCTGTCCCCTTACAGAGACATTATGGAAAGGGTCCTCAGATATCATGTATTCTTTCTCCCTCCCCTGAAATTCTTTCTGTGCCTCATGGGTGGTTCTCATCTGTCAGAGAACAACTCAAAGATAGTCCGTGCGCCTGTACCTCCCATGTTTCTCTGAGCTTCCTCATGCCCCATCAACTCACACATTGTACCATATACTTGGCTCCCTTCTGGAATGCCATATATTTTGCTGAGCATTTGTGTGCATGCCCTAACTTCTCCACTGGGTAGTGTGAGGACAGTGGCATGCCAATAGTAGACATTCAGGAATGCTATGACTATAGAGTCAGAACCTAAGGCCTGCTCATTAAGGAGTACCTCAAGTCCAGGTGAACAACACAAGCCTAGAATACTGGCATTCATGTGGATGTCTTCAACTATCCTCTGCCCATTACAGATAACTAATCATGTCCTTTTCCCAAGAGAACTAATAACACATGATCAAAGCTGGCAGATGAACTAAAGTTGCTTATAAAGACATTGTTAGGTCTCGGGTGTGTTGTCTCCACCACAAGCAACCAAATGCATGGCAAAAAGAGGGAAATTGAGTGGCCAGGAGACTTCCAGAGACCACTTCCAGGCCCAGAGCTGGTGTTTCAGAGTAGTCTGAGGGGGAGTCAGAGTGAGCAGAGTGAATTGGAGGTTAGGGTCAATAGGAACAACAGGACCATGGCAGTCTCTACAGCAGTGGTTCCCAATCACCCTAATGCTGTGACCCTTTAATACAGTTCCTCATGTTGTGGTGACCCCCCAACCATAAAATTATTTTTGTTGCTACTTCATAACTACAATTTTGCTACTGTTATGAATTGTAATGTAAATATCTATGTTTTCTGATGGTCTTAGGAAAACCCTGTGAAGGGGTCATTCAACCCTTAAAGCAGTTGAGACCCACAGGTTGAGAACCACTGCTCTATAGTTTTATCAGGTTCTATATGGTTAGGTTACTTTTGTATTGCTATGACCAAATGACTTGACCAGAATTAAGGAAGGAAGAGATTATTCCGTCTTGCAGTTTGAATGGATACAGTCAGTCACGGGGTGAAAGCGGGCTGGCAGGACCTGACCACAGTGCATTCATAGGAAACAGAGAGCACACTGAAAACGAGGTTACACATCTCAAGACTCGCCCTAAAAGACCCACTTCCTCTAGGGAGTGAGGTTCAACTTGGTGAAGTTTCTATAAGCTTCCAGAGCATCACCAGCAGTTGAGAATCAAGTTTTCAAGCACGTGACCCTGGCAAGGCGCGGAAGGGGGCCATTTAACGCTAAATCACATGACTATGTAAGCAACCATTTAAAAGCAGGAGTCATGTCACTTAATCTCTATCCCCAATCCTCAACCTTAGTCATTGTTCAGAACATTGTAGTTACTCAGTCTGACTGTGCCGACAGGCACGAAAACACAGCCACACAGGAAGAGCATAGAAACCGTGAGATAACATAACACGAGGCACTTTACTAAGTTTTCTCGGCTTTTCTTAGAGAGTTGCATTCAAGCTAAACTTTGAAGAGTAGGAGATATTTGAGTGGATGATATCAGACCAGGATTATCTGCTCTCCTTCCCACGCTCCCACCTGCTCTGTTGCACATCCAGACCATATATATGTGTTTGTGTCTGCAAGGTACACAAGTGTGCACATGTATGCATGTGGTGCTAGTGGATTTCTTAGGAATGACCCTTTTTAGGACAGGGTCTCTCATTTGACCTGAGACTCACTGATTTGGCTGGACTGGCTGACAAGTGAGCCTCAGAAAGCCACCTGCCTCCATTTCCCCAAACCTGGAATTACAAGTGTGGGCATTTTGACATGGGTTCTGGAGGTTTAGCGCAGGTCCTCATGCTTGCAAGGCAGGTGCCTTACTAACTTAGCCGTCTCCCCAGCTCCCCCTTCATGTACGTGATGGCTGATGAGGAAGAGACTTAGAACCAGTATCTACCAACATCCTATGTATCAAACTTTGGTTGATACGATATCCTTGGTCGTATCTGATTTGGTTTTACCTTGGGAAGGACATGGATGGTGTGCTAGTGTGTAGCATCCCTGGAAAGAATCACTATCTAGTGTCCATGGACACAGTTCAGATGCTACCGTGTGTAAATGCGTGATTGTAGACTTGCTTCCTGGTGGCTCACACCTCCCAAACCTAATCCTTCTCTCCTGCTTTATCTCCACATCAGAATACACCACCACCAGTCCTGACCTGTTTCTGGTCATTATCCAAGTGACCGGTGTCAGCCTCCTGCCTCCCCTGGGGATTGCCATAGCTGTGATCATCATCTTCTACTGCTATCGTGTCCATCGGCAGCAGAAACTGAGCCCATCCTGGGAAAGCAGCAAGCCCCGGAAACTCATGGAGTTCAGTGACAACTGTGCCATCATCCTGGAGGATGATCGTTCGGATATCAGCTCTACGTGCGCCAACAACATCAACCACAACACGGAACTGCTGCCCATCGAACTGGACACCCTGGTGGGAAAGGGCCGCTTTGCTGAGGTCTACAAGGCCAAGCTGAAGCAGAACACTTCAGAGCAGTTTGAGACTGTGGCCGTCAAGATCTTCCCCTATGAGGAGTACACATCATGGAAAACGGAGAAGGACATCTTCTCAGACATCAACCTGAAACACGAGAATATCCTGCAGTTCCTCACTGCTGAGGAGCGGAAGACAGAGCTGGGCAAGCAGTACTGGCTGATCACAGCTTTCCATGCCAAGGGCAACCTGCAGGAATATCTCACAAGGCATGTCATCAGCTGGGAGGACCTGTGGAAGCTGGGTAGCTCCCTGGCCAGGGGCATCGCTCATCTCCACAGTGACCACACGCCTTGTGGAAGGCCCAAGATGCCCATCGTTCACAGGGACCTCAAGAGCTCTAACATCCTTGTGAAGAATGATTTGACCTGTTGCCTGTGTGACTTCGGGCTGTCCTTGCGCCTGGACCCTACTCTGTCTGTGGATGACTTGGCCAACAGTGGACAGGTAAGTGAGAGTTGGTGCTCCTGACCCTGACCTCACACCTGGCCTCACCTCCACCCCTTTCTTTTATTTTCTTTCTGAAAATTTTCAATTAGAGACGTGTGTGTGTGTGTGTGTGTGTGTGTGTGTGTGTGTGTGTGTGTGTGCGTGTGCGTGTGCGTGTGCGTGTGTGTGTGTGTGTGTGTGTGTGTGTGTGTGCAGGTGCACGTATGTGTCTGTGCACACACGCATGTATTTGTGTGGAGCCCAAATATATTCCTCCATTGCTACTCATCTTGTTTTGTGAGACAAGGCCACTTGCTGAAACCGGAGCTCACCAATTTGGCTAGGCTGGCTGGATAGATAGCTCCAGGGATCCTCCTGCCTCTGCCCCTCTCCACACAGTGGTGGAATTAGAAGGGTGTGCCACCACAACTACCTTTAGCATAGATCCTGGGAACTGAAGTGCTGTCTTCTTGCTTGTGTGGTAAGCTCTTTGCTGGCTGAGCCATCTTCCCAGCCCAGTGATTCCATTTTTGAAGCATTGTCCCAGATCCACATGGAACCCCTCTGACTAAGGTGCACTGGAGGATTTCCTTCCCAGGTGACAGCTGATGAATGTCACAGTGGACCCATCAGGAGCATTGCTATTCTCCATAGCTGGCAAACAGGGCACACTCTAAAACCCTCCTGGAAATGAACGGAACATGTGAAGTTTCTGCCTTGTCAGCACTCTGTCCATAGCAGCACATGCAGTGTGGAGGTCATCTTGCTGAGACACAAACAAGTTAATATGTCAGGTCAATGACTCACAGAGTGCTCTGTTAAAAAGAAAAATGTCTTCTAAGACATGCCAATAAGAACTATTCTTTGGAACAATGGCATCAAATTATTTGACCTCTGTATGACAGAACAGTGATTGACATTGGATGAACTCATCTATGCTGCAGTATCAGACATTTCTGTTTGAAAAACTTCCCTTAGAAATAGCTTTCCCTTTTCCCTGCAGGCCCTGTGTTTGTTTAATGTCAATCATAAAATTGATCACAAGCCTAAATAACCAGAATACAGCCACACATCACATTCATGGAATCCGTTGTATGATTTGGTCTTTTCATATGACTTTAATTTAGCAGAGATTTATGAAATTATGTCATATGGGTCACAGGGTAAATTAAAATTAAATGGTCGTTAAGTGACCCAGATGGGTGGCAATTATTTTCATCATGAGTCTTAGAGTTTCAAGAATGAAGAAAAAAAATCTGATTTGCAAAACCAAAAATAAACAGGCAAGGGGATGGGGAGATGACTTAGCAGTTAAGGGCACTTGCTGCTCTTCCAGAGTGTTAGACTAGGGGTTTTGACCAGGTTCCTTTTCTCTGCCAGTTAAAGAATGAAAAGATAGGAAAAAGCCTTGAGGGTGAAGGATAGGAGTAGAGAAATTGAACAATAACAAACAGGAACGGGAAGAATCAGCAGTTGATGATAGGTGTTTATTGGACTGAAAAGACGCAGACCTGAAGCAGACACATGGCAAAAAGGCCTGCAGAGCATAGAGGGGATGTGGAAACTAAAAATCAAGGCTCTTCTTGAGGGTTGGGGTTTGTCTTCTCTGAAGGGTCTTCCTCCCCTAATTTAGGGTTGGTCAGTTTGAAGAATGATAGAAGGGCTGATAGACATGATAACATGTCCTGACTGGGCCTTGAACTTGGTGACCCTCTCCATCCGGAGGCCTACTGTTAGGAGAAGAAAAGTTATGAGGCCTTTGTTTTAAGCTGCCACGATCTTGTATCAGGTCAACGGGTTGAGGAAGAAGGCAGCCATTTTGGAAGTTCACCATCTTTATTACTGAGCCATAGCTCCTCTCACTGTCTGCCTTTCATGGAGTCTGTCTGATTCTTAGTCCCTCCAGAGGATCTGGGTTTTGTTCCCAGCACCCACATGGCAGCTCACGGTTGTCTCTAACTCCAGTTCCAGGGGCTCTGATGCCCTATGCTGGCCTCTGCAGGCACCACTCACACATGTGGTGCATGCAAAATATTCATCACATGAAATAAAACTAAATAAATTATTAAAAAATATAAGCATCTAAAATATCATAGATGTGGCCCTTGAGGTTATCTATAAGAATATTGAATAATAGGATGGCATATGCAGCCAGATTAGTGGCTCTGGACTGGGACACTTGTTTGAGCGTGTTTTGTTTAGAGTCTTTGAAGAGTTCTCAAAGAAAGAAAATAACAGTGTGTGTTGTGTCTGCCTGTGTAATTCTCATCATTTAAAACAGCACTATGATTTTTTTTTAAGAGAGCATCTGCACAGGGCTGTGGATGTAGCTCAGTCAGCAGAGTGCTTGCCTAGTGTGCATGAAACCCTGAGTTTGACTCCTAGCATCACATAAAGTGGGTGTAGTAGTATACGCCTATAGTTCCAGCACTCTGGAAATGGAGGTGGGAGGATCAGTGGTTCAAGGTAATCACTAGCTACAGAATATGAGGCCAGCTTGGGATACATGAAACTGTGTCAAAAAAAAAAGAAGGAAGGAAGGAAGGGAGGGAAGGAGGGACGGAGGGACAGAGGGCTGGAGGGAAATGAAGGAAGAAAGGGTGGGTTAAGAAGATAGAAAGTATCACATCTCAGGCTGAAGAGCTGTTACCAGTTGATGGCTGCTGGGGAGAAGGGCGAGGAGTCATGCTCCTTCAGTGGTACAGCCACTGTTAGTTACCCTGATCCTGGAAAGCCCCCACCAACGCTTTTATGAGCAACACTAATCAAATGCAATGGAGCATTTAAAAAAGACTAGGAAGTAGGTAGGGGACTTGTTAGCAAGAAAGGGTTCAAGAAGTAGGCAGGAAATAAGAGAGGAGAGTGAGGGTGAATATGATCAAAGTACATCATATACATGTATGAACCTACCTAGGAATAAAAGAAGAAACCTCCAGAAACAAACAAAACATCATCTGTGTATGAGAAACCTCAAGCTTAAGTCCCTTTAACAAGTTCCCTCAGAATTAAATTATGCTCTTCATTCTGTGTTTTGTTTTGTTTTGTTTTAAGGTGGGAACTGCAAGATACATGGCTCCTGAAGTTCTAGAATCCAGGATGAATTTGGAGAACGTGGAGTCCTTCAAGCAGACAGATGTCTACTCCATGGCTCTGGTCCTCTGGGAAATGACATCCCGTTGCAATGCGGTGGGAGGTACGTACTTGGTGACAGTGCAGTCAGAGGTGGGTCCCCACTCCAGATGATGTAATGGTGTTTGTCTCAGGCATGGTTCCAGGGTTCGGCACAGAGCAGTGAACGCCACACTGGGAGGCAGTTGAGATCGTGTAGTGCGTAGCTCTTCCAGGATTACTCTGAACAGCCAAGGTTTCTAAGTGAAAAACACATTGGGAACAAAAGGCTTTATATCTCCTTTCATACAGCTGTTTAGAATTACTCTTCTCTCCTCAGATATCTTAATATCTCGCAGGAGGTGGTCACTAGCAGCAGGAAAAAGAACGATTTCTATTTACCTAAAAGATAATAGTCAGATGAGCATCTGCCTTTGGTTTATTCTCATTTGGATTTAAAGGACTGAAAAAATACTTGACTAAACATTTACTCTTGTAGATATGACTTCTTTTCCTCAAAACTAAACAGGATGGTTTGATATGTCTATTTGGATTTTAAAACTCTGGGAACATTTATTGAAGATGATGCCTAGCCCCTAAGACTCCTCTACCTTTCCTCTGGGAAGCCCACAGTCAACTATCACCTTTCCTTCTCTTTCTTAGAGCATTCTCCCCAAGCAGAGTACCACAGCTCTCCCAGGTTCCCTTGTTCTCATCTCTGCATGCTGTCCATCCAGTCCTTCCCACTATGACAGACTGCCTTAGGGTTTCCATTACTACGAGAAGGTACTGGCCAGAAGCAAATTGGGGAGGAAAGGCTTTATTTCATCTTACAGGTTCAGGTGGACAGTCCATTGTCCAGGGAAGTCAGGCAGCTCCTCAAACAGGGCAGGAACCTGAGGTGGGTGCTCATGTGAAGACCGTGGAGCAATGCTGCTTACTGGCTTGCTCCTCATGGCTCACTTAGTCTGCATTCTTAGAGCTCCAAGGACCACCTGCCCAGGAGTGGCACTGCCCCCAGAGATCTGGACCCTCCCAGATGAATCATCAATCAAAAAGATGACTCCACAAATCAGTCTGCTGGGGGAATTTTCTCAAGTGAGGCCCCCTTTTCCAAAAGGACTTCAGCTTGTGTCAAGTCAACATAAAACTAGCCAGCACAGAGGCTGCCATTGTCTTGACCTTAAGGCTATAGATAACAATGGACATCCCTTGAGTGTTCTACTCATACTTTGTCTTGGGGGTCTTGTTCCCAGATGGCCAGAAAGAAAGACTGGTGGTTCTCTACATTCTGTCTCCGTCACCCATTCTCCACTCAATAGTTTCCATCAGGTCTCACCTGGAAAATGAGTGCACCCAGCCTTGTCCAGATGAAGTCAAGCTTGGCTTCATTCTTGTTGACTTTTTGTTTTATAATAATATTAGACTTACAAAACAGCATCAAGAAGAACACAGAGAGCTAAGGAGGTGGCTTAATCACTAAAGTCTTACCACACAAGCTTGAGGACATGGGTTCAGATCCTTAGCACCCATGTGAAAGGAGGCTTTTGTGGAGGGTACCTGTAACCCTAGTGCTAGAGAGGCCGATTCAGGATGGCTAGGCAGTTGACCCAAATCAGTTTGCTTCAGGACGAGTGAGAGAAACCCTGTCTAAAAACATGAAGAACAGTGTCAGCCTCTAGACTACACACACACATCCCCTCACAAACATGTCCACATACATATACTCACAATTAAATAATCAAACAAAAAATTTTAACAGAGATCTAGGTGTGTAATTCCAGCACTCAAGATGCTAAGGCAGGAGGATTGAAGCAAGTTGTGGGTCAGCCTAGGCTATATCGTAACTTACAGGCCAGCCTGGACTGCAGAGAAGATCCTGTCCTAAACACACAAACCAATAAACAACTGTAACAACAACAATAACAATGCAGAGACTCCAGCCCGCCCACCCACCATTAGTCCAGTTTAAAACTTAGCCTACATTCAAAAGAGAAGAGACGGTCTAACCGTATTAAAGCCAGGACATTAACATTGGTGCAGTGCTCTGTGTTGACCCCTAGACCTCGCTTGCACTCCAGAATCACCAGGAATGTGCTTTCCGGAAGAGGACTCAGGTTAGGATTCGCATGGATCTCACTCAGCTGTTTCTGGAGTCTTCCATGACCTTAATACTTGTGAAATTGGAACCAGCACCTCAGAGCCTGCACCTACTTTGGGTTCTGCTGGTGTTTTCTCATTAGATGGAGATGATATGTCTGGAACAAGCATGCCACAGACACTGTGGTGACTTCTCTGCACATGGAACCCAGGCCAGGGTTGCTGGTGTCAGCTAAGAGGTCTGACTGCCACACAAGGGAAGAGACTCTGGCTTGTCTCTGGCCTCACCTGTAATTTGGGAGTCTACTGAGAATTCCCACTTTAAAGGGTTATCACTGTGGTGTTTCCTCATGCAAATGTTTTTGTTTTTCTTACCCCTTGTTAATTAGTAGGTGTTTTACTCTGAGGGAATCTCTGCTCTTCCTCTCACTATCCCTTGGTACTTATCCATTATTTGTGCAGTTCTATCAGCTGGGAGCAGTGGGTATTTCTTTCATTCTATGGATGTCCAATAATGTTATTACTTATTTTGTTGCTTAAATAGTGGTCTCTCTGGTTACTAACCCAAACTTGCCATTCCAACTGGACCCATTACTGGTTCTGAGTCCTCATCCCTTGCAGAATATGTTTGGCTCCCCATAACCCCAAGGAGGATCTAGGTCACCTTTTCCTCATCCCTTATTGAACCACTGTCCTCTATATCTCTGGCTTCTGTGGAGATGGTGATTCCTATCTGGCTGGCACAATTCACAATTCTCTCCTGGTTTCCTGCCTAAGAGGTCTTCTTCTACACTCCTAAAAGTAGCTGTGTGTGTATGTGCATGTGTGTGTGTGTGTGTGTGTGTGTGTGTGTGTGTGTGTGTGTGTGTGTGTGTTTTCCTCATAGTTAAATTTGTTTAATCAACTACTAGCCATCATAAACGATTTTCTGCTTGGAAGCTTTGACAGCTCCAAAATGACTCTGTAGACTGATAGGCGTGGAGTCAAAGATAACGCTGTCCCCGACAGAATCAATTTACCTGGCTAGCAGTATCTTCTCCCGTGCTCTGGGAGCCACCGTGCTTCTGTAAACAGCCCCTGAGATCATGTCTGGTCTCCAGTTCTAACAAGGTAGTCAGCCCGAGGCTGTGGTGCACTCTGCGTTCATTGTTGTCACTGACAAGAGCCCTTTCCTGTTGATATTTGCTGAGTGAGGAAGAAATGAGGCACACATGAGGTAGAGCCAAGCTCGCCAACTTTTATGGTTTCTAAAAAAAAGCTACGGGATAAACAAGTTTCCCTGTGGAAGGAACCAGGATCCATTTTCTTTAGTTCATCTCAGAAAAACCCTTCACAACCTTCTGTGGTAAAAACAGGCAGGAATTGAATGGAACCAACAAACAAATGGCATTCCTTTGTTTGTTGGTAACTCCCCACCCCTGATTCTCCAGTCTCCACTCTGGCTGCATCCACCCTCATGGACATCACTAGATTGAAGCGTGTGACATCATGTGGCACGTCCCTGAGAACACATCAGCCTCTTCTAAAAGTATTAGATTTGTGTGTGTGTGTGTGTGCGTGTGTGTGTTAGCATGTGTGCACACCTGTGGAGGCAGGAAGCCAACCTCTAGTGTCTTCCATGGTACTTCTCTGCTTTGTATTTTGAGAGAGAGTCTCACTGAACTTGGGCCTGTCTGATTTGGCTAGGCTGGGTGGCCAGTGAGCTCCAGGGACCCACCTGGCCCTGCCTTCCCAGGACTGAGATCACAAGTGCATGCCACCACGTCCAGCTTTTTTAACTTTGGTGCTGGGAATCCAAACTCAAGTGCTCTCAGCAACTGAGGTAGCTCCTCAGACCCTTACGTCTTTTTTAAATGTCTTTTAAGACAATTTAAAGACCTTAAAGATAACTTGGTTAACCCAGGATTTATGTCAGAAACATTTATTTTCATGTGATTTTTATACATGGAAAGCACATGAAACATGAAATATGTCCCCTGCAGACACAGGCTTCTGCATCCTCGTCTCTCCAGAATCACAAGTGGACAGGCAGGTCCGGTTGTCACCCCAGAAGCTTGGAGTCTGCTAGAAAGACTTGCACTTTAAAAAAAAAAAAAGCACATGCTTTTTAAACATGTACACATACATGTTATATTTATCACCTTTCTAATACACTAGATAACAAGTTACTCTACTTGCTAGGGGGCTTTGATGTGTAAGTGTAAGAGGGGAACTGTAGCTGGTCCTTCTAAAGTGTGACCTTTACTGACATGATGATGTATGATTATTCTTTTCATCAGCTGTTGAATTCCAAAGAGAAAGGGTAATAATAATAATAATAATATAATTACAATAACAGTAAGCAGTAGTAGCAACAGTAAATTCAGGCCCTTTGAGATGGCTCAGGGCAGAGGTGTTTCTGATGATCTGAGTTCAATCCTTGGAGCCTATGTAAAGGTGGGAGGAGGGAACTGACATTACAGAGTTCTGACGTCCACATACAAGCCGTGGCTCATGCACCCACACCCTCCCACAACAATAATTAATTAATTTTAAATAACAATGTAGAATATATTTCCTTAGTATGGCAATCAAAGCTTTCTATTTTACCCCACAATTGGGTCAGCTAATATCCCATCTACATGAAGCAGGACATTTGGCAGTATGTGACAGATGTCCCGGGAGAATTAAGTCCTTCCTGCCTTACTTTAGGTTTCCGTGATGATGGTGAGTGTGACTTTCCTGTGGATGCCAAGCCCGGCCCCTTCATCACCTTAGGCCCCTCCTCCCTTCTCTGGCCCGGGCCCCATGCTTCGTCCTCACTGAGGATCTCACCATCAACTCCTTTCAGGACCTGTCTCTTGACTCCATTTCAAGCAGTTTCCTGGGACTAACACCTTGGCATGAACTTCCCTGCAGTCAGGGGCTGTCAGTTATACAACGGCTGTTAAAGGGACAGCAGAAGGAGACAGGGAGCTAGCCTCCAGGCCAGCCTAAATCAGTGGA